TTTTTGACATTAATTTTTAGAAAGTTGTGTCTGCTAGTTGGTTTCAGAAACTTTGTTGTTTCATTTGTGTATGTGAATGTTTTTGTAATATTTATGCTTCTAGTTAGCTGTTATTGCAAATAACTTATGCCTTTCCAATTGCTTAAATTCACTGCAGTTGCTTCAGGCAGATACTACAAGCTGAATGGCTTAGTATAAAAGTAAAACGATGAGTAAGCCATTAGAGTTTATTTTAAAGCAATTAGAGGAAAAGGGCTTTGGCTTTTATTTATGTTTATTCTCAAAATTTATTATTGTGTAAATTCAATGTCTCAAGCTTAGAATAATCGATAGCTTGGGTTTTCATTTGTGGGAATTGTTGGCTTAATGTAAATTTTGTTCAATATTTTTTAAAGAATCTACTCTAATTTTAAGGCAATCTGTCCACAAATATGGCTTGTTGAACACAGTTTTAATCCTACTATAGAATGTACAAAATATTGTGTGAGACTCACACTGTACAACTAGCTTAAGCTGCATTAGGTAGCAGTAGACCTGATTTATAAAAATATGAAACTGTTCACAAAGAAAAGAGAAAATAGTTATTCAGATTAGTTTTCAAAGTTGATTTAATATTAAATTAGTGGAAGTCGTATTAACGTAGACTTGTTGGTGAAAAAGTGTTGCCTACTTTGCCGCTGAGCTTCTGTAATTGGCGCCCCAATAAACAGAATTTGCTGGTCAATGATGTACCGATGGATAAAAATATATATATGCTTTTTGGTTTAACCAGCTACCAGGTGGTGCAAACGCAAAAAGAGAGCAAACCATATAAAAATGTGGAGGTAGAACAATGGCGTTGGCTGCTCCCTAACCCATTGTCCCCTGCCATTGAGATAAGTAAACACGGAGCAAATCAGCTAAGCAAAAGCAAAGCGCAGCACTTGCCAAGTGCCAAGGTGCTGTCAGCATAAAGTTAAGCCAGGACTAAGCAGCTGCTGCTCAGCGACCAACGCTGCGTAGACGTAGACAGACTTGTAGAAGTTGTCGCCCAACCACAGAATATCCAGTTGTGTAGTAACCATGCAGCCACCTTTGGCTGCTGCACATCATCAATCTTCTTAGACAGGCTCAGTGTGTCTGCCTGCCTGCATCAGTTTTGTGTGTTGAACGTGCTGCCATTTCCTGGCCAGAGCACCCTTAGGTCCTTTGGCCCGTCGCCTCGCAATTTTGTCGTCGCACGCTGTGCTGCTAACCTTTTTGAGTTATGCATTCCCAGTTTGAAACAGCTACCTTTGCAAGTATCACGTAGTCGTTTTGTGGTTGTCGTCGGCGGCACTATACGTTATTGGTGGGCTTCTCTTTATACCCTATACGTATCAAAAAAAGAAAAGAGTATATTGAAATGGTCAAACTGAGTGATATATTTGAACGACGAGAAATTTGTTCAGTTACTTTTTTGAATACTAACCGCATTGGCGCTTCCACAAATATCCTCTCTATAAGAAAGAGTGTGTATTTAACAAAATAGACTCGGTAGAGCAGCCAGAAGTAGTCATCCCTTTTTAATTAATATGAATTTTAATTAGTACTAGATTTCAAATGAGTAACAGACTATTAAAATTTATTATAATATTTAATTAAATACAATTTGCAAGTGAACAATTTTTAAAGACAGCCTTTCATTTAATCAGAACTTATTTCAGCGTAGGACATCTTTAACATAAATGTTTTCCAAAGACAAACAGAGTCAGACATTGCTCAATTAGAGCTATCAAAGGAAAATATGAGTATCCTTTATTCGTCCACAACCATACTCTTTGTGCGCGAGTGTCGTTGCTGCACTTATTTTGGAAGTGTTTTATAGTTGAGAGTTGCGGCCCGAGCCGACTGCACTTTGTTATTAATGCGCATTTAAGTTTTTCTCTTTTCTTTTTTTTCCACGACACGACTCCACCTTTTTGGCTCTTGCTTTTGTGTGCTTTCTAATTGAGGAAACATTAAAAGTCAAGTTCTGCTGCCGCATTGTTATAACCCAGAAAAAGTACGAGTGCATTGCAGTCATAGTCCTGCAATGTCAGAGGGGGATGAATGTTGGGACCTCTTTCGTGCGCCGGAGTTTTTGTGCTCTCCAGTCGCTTTTTGCATTTTGTATGCAGTTCGCTTGGTTTGCTTTTTAATGAAGTTTTGGCTGGCTGTCCCTTTTTTGGTAGGCTTTGACTTTTTGACATCGTTTCTTTTAAATTGAAAGGGCGTTGTCACAAATGCAGTAGAATATTGCCAAATGGTCAATTAACTTGACTGCATACTAAATGTTTGTGAGCACGCCCTTATGAACTGTGTGTAGTCCATCAAGAGGATTGTTAACCGGCAATTCTGGAACACTGGTTTCCATCTGTGACGAAGGTAACACTGCCTGCAGCAAGTCTTTAGACCCTGCATCCACATTAATCATTTCTTGCATATAATAAAAATGAATTGCTGCCAACAACAACTGCCTCTTGGCAGACTAGGGCAAGGCAGCTAAGCAACTCATGACAACTTGGAGCACAGCCGCCTTCATTGTTCGCGCTCACTTAAATGCGAAACGATTATGCGAGTTTATAATAAGGCCGAAGACGTTCTTGCACAGTGATGATAAACTGATTAGAAGTTAGATAAAATTTGTATTTATTTGCAAAAAGAATGTACTGGAAAATATTAGAACTATGCATAAATTATTTTAAACATGTTTGAAAATTATGGACATTTTTTAAGGTTCCATAAAAGAGGGGAGCGCCTCCATGTTATGGATGTGGATCCTCATTTTGCATGGACCCTTCTGCAGCTCAGTAGGCTGCGTAAACTTCTTGGAATGCGTCCATGCGCTAGTGCGTGAAGTTGAGATCTTTCAAAGAAAATGCTCCTTAATTGGTCTCCAATACCCGGCAATACGAAGGATCTACGTGTGTCTATGTGGGGCTGCAAATGGTGGTGCAGCGGCTTAAACCACCTAACCACAAGCCTTTACTCATTAATATATGATGTGTTCCGCTTTCGATTAAAAGCGTTACGACTATTGAAAATAATATTTTTGATTTTAAATTTTAAATTTAAATTAAGTTAGTGAGGGCTGCCTGCTTTTTTTCTGTGTAAGGGGATAGAACTTATTTGTTTCTTACATCATCAAGCAGTTTGAAATTTCAAATTGTATTATTATATTAAAATTGTATATATATATTATAATAGAAAATGGATAAATAATCATATAATTACATTTTTGGCGTTGGTTAAAATCCTGTTATCTCTTCCAGCATGATGTGTTCTATTTCAAGCAAAAATGATTTTCAAGCAATTACCAGTTGACAATAAGAATAAGAAAACGTAAACAAACTCAAATATTAATAAAATGCAAATAGCTGTTACAGCATTTCAATTCTTAAAACTTATGTGCTGCGCAAACACAATTCATAATTAAGAACGTTATGTTTATACATGATTTAACCTGGTTGCTTTGATTTTTGAGCCACTGTTTTTAAGGCTTAGGTGCAGCTTGCGTGGCTAAATGCTTAAAGGCATTGTCTGAGCAGAGGAGCGCGCGCGCCTAGGTCGGGCCATTTGTCAAAGTATGCATGGGGTAGGGTGGCACGGCAGTTACTTCGTCACTATCTCTCAGTCAGGGACGCAAGTCATTTATCATTTATGCGCTGCATACATCGAGGTTGCCAGCGACGACGCTCGCGTCGATGTTGATGCTGACACTTCTTTGACCAGCGAAGCGTTCAAACCACACGGAAACACGCAAGCATTCGCAGACATATATATCATAGGCACACAAACACACACATATGCATCACAACAATGCCAGGAATAAGAACAACAGGCAACCTTGACTAAGCTTCAGTTGATTTGCAAAGCTTTCCGCTTAAGTCTCTAGTGTGGCACAGAATACACACATACGAGTACGTACTACATGCACAGATATGTGCCAACGACCGCTTGATGTCATAGTTATGGATTTGGCTTGAGCATGACATTTGAGAATCTGAAGGACAAAGCATCTGTTGCCCAAGTTTTGACATTTTCTGAGGCTCTTTCAAGCATCCAGAAACTTTTCTCGGTTTAACGCACGTCACCCAAATTTATCAATAGGCGTATGTGGGTGCCTGAACAATTTAGTTTGTATATGAAAATGAAATATATTTGGCAGTTAATAATCCAAAAAGTTGCAGCAGATTTGAGCCACCAACGCAGAACTTTCACATATAGACGCAGCATCTTACAGTACACACTCGATGAAGTGAACACTGTAATGTGAAGTACAGTATGGTATGTGTTTATTCGAATTCGCTTAAAAGTGATCCCATACTATGTTGCTGTAGCTTAACAAAACAATGGGAGTAAATCGATATTCTTTTGTCTAAATGTTAACAAACGTTTATTTACAAAAATATCTATATTCTTATAGAGTAACCAACAAAACGAAATTAGATCTTATGGGTAAGTTTCCCCAAATGGAGTATATTTATTTTTGTCGACATACAAGGCCTGAAAACATACAACAAATTGAAAAAAATAAAATAAATAACAAACAATAAAATTAACAATTAATAGACAGTAAAATTCTGCTTGCCAGGCTCTATAGGTTTACCCCATTTTCTAGCTAAAGTAATTAAATAATTGGTTAGTTTAATTGTATAATACATTATAAAGAAACATATAGTAATAATCCATACAAATGACGTCCAGCAGTCAGATATATATAAAGTACAAATTTCAATAATGTTAATGAAGAAAATATTCTTATAAGAATAAGGTTGTTTCCCCAAAGAGTTAAAAATATTACATTTGAGTAAATCGAATTAACGGACGTTTATAGGACTCTTCTGAAACATACTATCACTATTCGAAATCCAATATATTTATATTTATATATAGATTACTCTAAGTCTTTAATTACGAACATAACTTTTTAATAGTAATATTAACTTTCTAATCATTTTTTCAAGTAATGTTTACCGATGCTGCAAACCCGAAAGTGTAATAGTATGTTATTATACCCTGTACCTGTAGGGTAAAAAGGATATATTAGGTTTTTGCAAAGTATGTAACATGCAGAAAGAAGCATCTCCGACCCCATAAAGTATATATATTCTTGATCAGGATGATATAGCCATGTCCGTCTGTCCGCCCGTCCGTCTGTCTGGATGAACGCAAGGATCTCAGAAACTATGAAAGCTGGAATAACCAAAGTTGGTATCCAGATTCTCCTAGGCCCGAGAAAGGACGAGCTTATTTTATTTTTGAATTTTCCCCCCATTCCCCCGCAATAGAATTTCGTCAATACCGTCCACATTTCAAATGCTACATTAACCAAACTTTGCACACATAGTTTATACACAATAATCTACTTCATCACAATTTCATCTAAATCGGTTAATTCTAAGAAAAGTTAGTAGCGAAACAATTTTAGTCTGGTACTACGTCCACAAGCTGTAGCATCAAGTTCGCTCTTCTTCTTCCTTTTGCTTCTGCTAGAGGCTCATGTACCTCAGTGTCGGAAGTTTACCTGGGTGTAGGGGTTCTCTCTTGTTTTGTATATCAATTGTTTCTAGTTCGTCATTTATATTTATCGCAACGCGAATATCATATTCGGGTTTTTAAAATTAACTGTAATGCGAAGAGACAATGCTTTACGATTGATTTAACAAACGATAATATTGTAAATTATAATTATAGTAGAGTGTGGAAAGAGACGCATCTAATTACTATTGAAATATTATGCTTGCAAATATTGAAAATGCGATATGAAAGTAAAGGCAATCCAATACACACAAAACTAAACGCAAATTTGCGCCAAGTGGACATGAATATGATTTCGATCTACTTTGGTGGTGTGTTCTAAGTGTGTCGGTCCTCATGTTACATGCTTACATGTGATTGATAGACGAGACATTTTATTTTCATACCCTGCAGGGCCCTGTAAAAAGGGAATATTTGGTTTGCAGATGGAAGCATCTCTTACCCCATAAAGTATTTGTACTCTTAACAAGCATGATAAAGAAATGGCCGTGTCCACATTGATTAAAGTTCATATGTAGACTTTTTTCTTTAATTCCTACATTTGCAAAGCTTTCTAATATAAATTGTGTCCCCCACCTCTACGTATTCCAAAAGGAATAAGCGATTGATTGTTTTTTTTTCGAGATACAGGGTATTTCACTGTGGGGCTTGCTTGACTGTCACATTCCCGTTTATATATGAACATGCATGGACATTTTTCGCATGAAATTTGGCACTTGCATTGAAAGATTGACATTTGTGTTTGCTCAGGCTTTTAGCACGTGTAACTAATACCTCATATATATGTATGTACGTGTACGTATTGGTATAAGCCACACAGATACCCACATCCACACATACAATACCACAAATGTGTGCGTTAAAGGCACAATCGCCTTGCAAATTTGCCACTGGGCAAGCCAATGGTAAGCCACTTTATGGCGCACAAGTCAGTTTATGGCATTTGTTTGCCAGTCGCTTTGGTATTTAGTATTTGCCTGCAAAACGATTTTAATAGCTCAGTGCATATGTGCATCAGAGCTATGTAAATACTAGCTCCACAATACACAGTCTGTCAAAATATACAACATTTTACGGTACGTAAAGTTTGAGAAATGTGCATGGCCCTGGCAAAGCATTATAATGCTCCCAGCAAATTATGTTATCTGTTGTTGTTACTGTACACATTACACATATGTACATACTCCTTATATGTTTCAGCTCTGATGCACTGCAGAGAGCTCGAAATTAATTACGCATAATATTGGAAAAGCTTGATAGATGTTGAACGAGATTAATCAGAGTTTGGTTTCATACAACTATACTTGTGCAGTGTTTACTGGAGAAATAATTCGAGTTCAATAATTGTACAAATTTACAGTTCTGTATTATGAGGAGCAAGATTAATTTAACTTGTACATTTGTTTTTATTAAAGGAAGGCTCGTTGGTCTGCAGCTATTAATATTGTAGATAGTGTACTTTTTTGTAACAAGCAAATTTTGTTGTATCGCTCCAATCTGGAATGGTTTCTCTTTACTAGTATGCCATTAAAGTTTTTAATATACACTTCACCGCTTTCCAGGGGTTTGAATTTTCTTTTTCAATAAACAAAATGAAGTTTTTAATATACATACCTACTTATCCGACTTGTAAAGTCATTTCACAAGCAAGCTATATACTCTATAGGATTTTTTTTTATTATTGAATTGTGCCTCTCTGTGTACTTTTGCTCCGTTTTCCTAATTAAATAATGTATCCGCCTATTATATCTGGTGTATAAGCAAACTTCACCGTTTGCTTTGATTTTGCCAGTGGCATGAAAACGGAATTTAAAGTAAATGATGCCATTGGCTTAAATAAATTCAATTAAAAGTGACAATGGATGGATGTGCACTCTGTGCTTATCGGGCAGAGGCAAACAATTGATTTTACCTGAAAAATAATCGAGTTGGCCTCCGTCTCTTTTTTGTTGGGACTTTGCTCCAGTAAAATAATATTTATATTCTTTATTATAAAGACCAATAGCAACAAAAGCGTTTTTAAGAGGAAGCAATTAAACGTTTCTGCTCTGTTCATTCATACAACTAATTATACTACAAGTATATAGAGCGAACATAGAATAAAAATTATGTTCGTTTTTAAATTCGGTAACACTTTATCCAAAACGTTCGAATTAATGATACGTTGTGAAGGCCATCCTGGCCAACTGTATGGAGGCTAAAAAGGACTCTTTTGTGAAAATTGTTGCTTGTTTTTCTTATTTTAAAGAAGCCCTGTTTATTGTGGAAAAGCTACTGACTATATTCAAAAACGAATTTTATTAAACAATATTTAACTATTTGGACTCCATTTCCACAGCGAAGCTGCAGTTATACTAAAACGTGAATACCAAATGAATCAAAAGAGTCTTAGGATGATTTGTTTATTAGAAGTGTTTAACAATAAATCCACTTAAACCAGAATTTGCTTTGGTTGATATAAACTTCTACAATCCAAATGTTTTCCATATTTCAGTGATTACGAAATTACGATCTCGAAGGCAGGTTTTAAAAGAAAAAAAAAATGAAATATTAAAAAAAAAATTCTTCCCTCTGCTTTTTATATATTTTTGTTAAGATAATGTTACGTATCTGGTGGATGTGACTGGTATCTACTATATTTTATTTGAATAGCTGCACTTATATATATTTCCCGCGTTCATTTAAATTGAATAACCGAAAAAATGTTTACCCTTACAAGTACATATTTGTATAGAAAAGTAGATGCAGCGAACATTTGCAACGCCTGCAACGTCTGCCAGCAGTGGCCAAAAATTACCTTTCAAATAGCCAAAAACCCTTTGCGCCATATTTTATTTGCATTGTCGGCGACGATTTCACCGTCACCGTCACCAACACCATTGCCATCAGAATCAGCCATCAGAGTTGCGATTGCCAGCGTCGCTTTCTATTTGCTTTTTCATTTGCAGCATAACGTGCTATTGAATGCTGTTGCATCTCTCAGCCCGCAGCCCGAAGTCCTGAGCCCGCAGTCAGGACATTATTTATGCATGCAATGCTCTTTGAGTCTGCCGCAGTTATTGGCATTCGGTCGCTCGTTTCGCTTACTCGTTTGGTTTGCTCTGCTTTTTTGCAATGCGGTTTCGCGCACCTCCATTTTGGGGCAGCGAAGCGCAGCGAAGGACATTTTATTGAACTTCAATGGAGTCATTGATCTCCAATGCCAGACTTTGTTTATGGCACATGCTGGATAACTGCCGGCTGAGCTGCAGGTTAAAGCTGTGTGCCAACCAGCCAGCCCACATTAAATTCCGTGTTTGGACTAACAATATTTGGGTTCAATGTAACCATAATTCGCGTGTAACTTATTTAATGTTGTCGGCAGCTTCACCTGCTGCGGCCAACGTCTGACTAACCTCTTTCGGCTCTAACAATAGCAATAATTTATAAGAATTGATTACGCTGTATGTGCGATCATAAATCGTCGACACACGGATAACTTTTTGTCCTTAGCTTCCAAATGATTGCAGTTTCAGTTGCCATTAACTTGCACAAAACTAAGCATTTAAAGTACTTGGCTCGAAAACTTTAAAACAAATGGTAATATAAACTTTTGTCTTAGCTCTTTGTCTCCTGTTGTTTTAATATTCATTACAAGCACTTTTTATGGCTTCCAATAAAAGTTTTAGTGCGGCTGCAAATTTAATTAATGCTATCAATCAGTTTCTGCACTCGGCAGCAAATAATCTCTATAATTTCAGCTTGAGCTGAAATTCCGGTCATATTTCTCAGCTTGCGGACTGAACGTTTTTACGGCTCGTCGCATACATATATTTTCTGACTATAGTTGCTGGGACGTTGTGTGCGGTTTATGATTTGGTTATTTAATTTTGTGACTGGCTGTTTACTAGTCTATAAAAAAGCTGGGCGGCTAGAAAATGAACAAACTTTTTACATCATCCAATTTGGTCTAAAATAATCGGGAATATTAAAAGTTAGTGAAAGTATTTTTTAATATCAGCTTCTCCCGCGGTATTTATCTGTCATGTTAGGCGATAATCTTTTTGATTGCAATTCTGCAATTTTTGACAAGAAAAAATCTCTTTATAATGATTTGTGTAGTGTGAGTTATTCTTTGTCTCAGAAGGGTAAACTTGTTTAACATAACAATGAGCATTTCTATACACGCCTGTCAATCTCATCTTAATGCCATAGTTCTCAAACAAGTTATAGAAGGAAATGTAATTTCTGCTCATACCCTACCAAAAGCGGGTTTTTTTTAAATTGTTTGTACTTTTTATAAATCAACAAAGTATGTGCTGTTGACATATAGGGAAATATACTTACAATACGTTATAATTACAACGCTAAGAAAGCACCGACAATAAACATTATTGTATTATGTCCGTATACGCCTCCGACCCATCCGACAGGTTGTTGTTGTTGCCATGATTTAGGTACGTCCTGCAATGATTCACACAGGCACATATGTACAAATAGTATATGTATGTTCTATATTAGGAATATTTACTACGTATTATATTACCTAACGAATTTTAAATAAAAACATTTTAATCCCAATAAGCTTACGAAAATGAATCCAAATATTAAATTCTGGTATTCAAATCATTATTTGGATGACACTCTAAATTGTTACTTTGTTACATGCATTCCACGTTATTTTGAAGAGTATTATATGTATGTACACGTATATGTTATAATGCGGAAATCAATTTAATTATTGCACCTGCTAGCAGACTAGTTCACTTTTAAGGAAAACGGAGCACATTGGTCCCTTATTTGTTGCCTATGTTCTTTAATGTGCACTTTTTTTTCAATGAAATAAATTATTTTATATAATAATTGTTGTTTTTTGATAAGGAAAAAATGTATAGAAATTAATATTGCTTAATAACTCGTTGCTCCACACCTCAAAACTGTTCATAGTATCTCATGTGTTATTAAAAAACATTTTTCTTTCATACTTTTCCCGCTACAGTATACAAGCTATGAAACCCCGACATTAAGTTGTTGTGCTACTTAAACTTTTTTATATTTGACATCAAAAAGAAAGGTCGAGGCAGCAGTGGGATCATATCATTCATTGTTATGGTAGCCATAAACTTCCAGACCTAAAACAATATTCTGCTACATTTTCTGAGAAATATGTAAAAATTATGCATTTTTTTTAAAGGAATTGTTAAAATGACAAAAATGATGTATGTATAATTATACGCAGTAGGACATCTACTGATCTTTTGGAAACATTAAATATCCATCAAATAAATAAATAACGTCGCTATAGAGTAACACTTCAAGGTGTGGAAAGACTTACCCCATTTGAACTGCAAATGTTTGAGAAAAAATGTTTGCTGCTGGCTACTGTTCGTTGTAAGTTCCAATCGTGCTTATAGATTTGTTACTACTGCGGACTTTTATCTGCAAACTGTGCCACCAAAACTCACTCGCCTATAAATCTACCACCTACGCATTGCTCTTACAAGTTCATCAACAGCCCGGCCCACTAACTTAGCACGCGTCAACAGCCACCCGAATCCGGAATCCTACTAAATTTGCTCACGTTTTGCACGGCAGGTCATAAAAACGCTCGAATCATGCTGGAACCCTCGGAGCAAAGCTTATAGCTGCCCTAAGTCGAAGTCACAGTGTTTTATTGATGTGCAAAATGCATGAAATTAGAATTTAAAGTGTGCCAAAGTTTGTAGCTAACAAAATTTGAAGCATAAAACAAATTTCCTTTTAAGCTGCTTCATAGCCCGAGCTTTTTATGTTTGTCATGTCAAAGTTAAGGCATTAACTTATTGGGCGTTTGAACTGCTCTCAATGCATCCGGTAGTCAAATGGCCTCAACTCAATTACCAAGCCTATATAAAGCATTCCAAAAAAAAAAAAATTAATTGAATGCAATGCATAACTTAATAAAAAACCAATTTGTGTGCAATGCTCAATGTTCTTTTCATTTTATGTTATTCTGCATATTTTCACATTTTTTTTAGATTTTTTGTTGTTTTTTTTGTGTTTTTTTTTTTTGAGAGGAAGCCTGCTTTATTTATATGTTCCCAAATCATTGTAAAATAATTAAATTGAAAACTGCAGCAATGGCGGCAGAAAGGCAGGCATCGGCATAAAGGGTCACCAAATAAAAACCATAATTCGTCTATAAAAATATCGTAAAAAAGAACGGGACAACGAATTGGAGCATACGATAAAACGTGTGTCACATATACACACACACACACACACACACACACATGCACATATGTATGTGTATATGGTCACATACACAGGCACTTCTGTTTTTCATGTTGCGGCTGCTGTAAACCGAGCCACTTAATGACTTCCGTCATAAACTATTTTCGGTTCAGCTAAATTCCAACAACTTTATTGCCAGCGCGCATGAAAAAGGGGCGGTAAAGGCAAAGGGAACGGCAACGGCAACGAAGGCCGTGCCAGTGCACAGAAGCGACGAAAAATTGGCAAGGAATATGGCGAGTATGGCGCAGTGAAATCGTATATACATCCAAAGCTGAGCATAAGAGAGGGAAAAGAAAAAATGTTATGTTTGCACAACATAAACAACATTATTTCTTATGGCGTGTAGACGCCATACAGTAGCGAGCACATGTGTTTTGACATATTCATGAGGCACACGCATAATATCTACAAGTATGACAAAAATGCACGCTTTATCAAATAAATAATTCTGCTCTCGCTCAAGGCAAAGTGGAGTTTTCATTCCCCCATTCCACCCAAATGTTTTTCAAATATTGACCTTGAACTTTTAACAGCAACTTGAAGATCTAGCTAAGGGTAAGCCAACGTTATGTTTAGTTCATTAGCAATATTTATAAGTATACTTTCATAAATACAGTTTCTGCCTCCATTGACATCGCCACCCCACTAATTCATGGCTGTTAGTCGACAACAAATTTGTTGGTGTATGTGGTAATCCGACTGATGATGATCGAATTTTTGTGAATAATATAAAAAATGAGTGTCAGTTATTAGTTTAATAATTCTGCGACATTCAATCTGCTGTTCATTATTATATTTCCATGCCGGAGTAAAATATTACCATTAGTAAAAATATTAATAAAATTTGTTTAATATTCTTCTATTTATTCTTTCAAAAAATATAAGAAACCTCAAATATCTTATTATCTAAGTACTTTTGCCTACTAGTGTATGCATATTTAAAGGCATTGACATGGGCCAATGGGCGCACAAGCGTGAAAAGTCTGGCACAAAAATGGCGCACGGGAAAATCGCCAAAAAATTAATGATGCATAAGCATAAAGAGAGAAATATCAATATGAATGTTTCTGGCCAGTAACAGTTACAGTAACGGCAACTGGCAGTAGCTGCAAAGCTGCAAAGCTGCGCAGCATACAAGCCAGTAATTGGTTGCCCAGGTATCTGCAGTTAATCAGCTAGAAATGGAGCGTGCAATGCTTATATACATGCTCTTATGTACTTACTATATTATACGAGTATATGTATATAGGTAGTATGTAGTATGTATATGTGCGCAAGTGCTACTGTAGATGACGAATTAAAAATGTAATTGTAATTTTGCGAGTAAGCTGTGCTAGCAGTTAAATAAATGAAATAAGAACTGTTACAGCAATGCCAAGTCACAGGCACTTACTTTCCTGATTCTGAATGCATGTGTATATACTTTTGTGTGTGTGTGTACTTTTGTCTGTTATTTCCCTGCTATAATAAACGGAAGTTCCTCCTTAACTATTTACTCTTCAGTTGTGACTGCTTTGCTCGTTTGCTTTTCCGGCTTGTTTAATTTCTGTGCACTCTTTAGGTGCAAGCACTTTGAAGTAAAAACTTCTTGTACTTTCTGTCAACAGATTGGTAATTGGCACCTTTTCCAGCTAGACTGCAGTGCAGGAGCAGTGTACCGGCTAATATTCACTCTGCACTCATTGAATGCTCCTATTTCAGCGATGAAGCGAGTGTTGTTGATGTAGATTATGCATTTCATTATAATGTGCATATTATGTATTTACTTAATGCTCTAGATAAGACATCAGCAATTTACTTCTCTTTTAAAAAAAGCCTGGCCTGGTTAGAATATGTCAAATGCCCTGGTATTTATTATCAACACTCATCACACACATTCCACTATTAACATAAATAAACACAAATGCTAGGGAGCGAATAATTAAAATTGCTTTTGTATTATCTCAATCTCGTTCAATAACAAATGCTTCACAAGTAATTAAAAAAGAACTGGAACTTTTTTTTTTCTATTTAATTAAAGCATTGAAGCCGTGCATTCAGATTAGCACCTTAACAATACATTTTTACAAATATAAAATAGCCCAACCTCGATCACTTCCGCGCGACGATTAATAACTGGAACTGTATATACATTTATTTTGTATGGTCAAATTTGTTATTATTTTTTCAATATTATTGGAAATTTGAGCGCTACCTATCTTTCACATTCTTGAGATAAATTTAGTAAAGTAATCAGTGCAATGTGTTTTCTTCGGTATTCATTTATCTCGATTATTAAATAAACATTGTCAGGCGTTTATCAATCAAAGAACCATTCATGCCAGACTCCCCAGACGGAGAAGATGTTGCCACTCTTCCTAGCAGTGGCAAACGAAATTGGCAGTTCCATAAGCAAGTTTCGAATTCCAAACTAGGCCTGGGAAATGCAGCAGCTGTACGCACTCAGGACCCAGACTCAAATGTTACAATGTGGCCCTAAGTGCTGTCAACGAAACCACAAGTCAGCTGCTAGAGATGGCAGGCAGCAAAAACAAAAGGAAAACAATACCGAACTGAACAGAATACAGTCTGTATTTTAATATCAATGGATGTGCGCACACACACACACACACACTACGTACATGTGAGTAGCAAGTTGGCTGCAACAAATTGTTTTTTACCCAACACTTGGTGGTCACTAAGGTGCGGAAGGTACTCACCCCTGTCTGTGACACAAGCCTGGTCGGGTGCCACTCCTGCCCCATCTTTGTGGTTTGGTGGTCCGGCGTCTGGACTTTGACCCCTGAACTTTGATCCCTACTGAGACGTACTAGCGCTGGTCAAGCAGGCCTAGCGTGAGTATACTTTTTGTTTTTATTTTCGCTGTTGCTCCGCCCACGCGCTATAGGCAGTCGCACAGTTGCATTCACAACAGCTGGCTGCCCAGCTTACGCAGGGTTGCATTGTACCATCTGGTGGCCACCCAGCCGCTCCTCAAGAGAGTGCCAGGCTTTGACACCAGAGGGCGGTTCAAGGCTTGGTAAATTGCAGCGCTGGTGCTGCATACTTTTAGGACCTCCCGGTAATTCGGACCTAATACTCCAAATCCTGGTGCAGCCTTTTAGGATCAAAACATATTTTGGCTGGGTTCTTAAGCGAGTTTATATAAAGGCCGGACGGGCTATATTCCAACCCCTACCGCATCGGCGGTGCATCCCAGTGGGGCTCTGGTGACCGAGCAGGGGCGGGATAACCCCCATCCCGTCAAGGAGAAATACTTGGCCATCGAGGGAACTCGCCACGAATCCGCCTCGATGACCGACATGCAACGGCATGGGCTACAGAAAGTGGCCCCCACCGACCAGCCACCAGGCGTACAACCGGCGCAACCTACGGTCTACCTGGAGTCGCCTCTTTCCTTTACGCATGGCGCGCCTTTGGCAACCCTGGGTGAAGAATTGTGGCTAAAAACCAACGAAGCGGTAGCAGGCGCGAATCCTTTCGCGCGTAGGTCTCTGGTGGCCAGATCCCCACCAAAGTCTGCTCCACCGTCCGTGACGCTCCACAGCTACCCCCTCTTGTGTCCATCTTCTGCTTCTTCGCGTGCAGCAAACGCAGCCGAGACGGCGATTACGCCATTCTCGACACCTCTGGCAGCGCCTTCATCGCCTACGCCTTTGCCGATAGTAGTGGCGTCTAGCGGTCCCCCAGCCCAACCAACCACCGCCCAGGCAGAGATGCAGGAACTGGGCTCCCACCTGCAGGCGGTGTGCCGTCTTTTCGAGGGTCAAAATAAGCGACATGTCAACCAGCAGGATAAGGAGATTTTTGCTGAGATGCTGAAGCTGCACAGCTCGATTTGCAGCAAAATAGACTGGTCATGTACTGGAGTGAAGCAGCATTCGAGAGATATTGGCATTCAAACTGCTGAGGCCTGGCCCAAAGTGTCCAGCCACCCCCAAGCTGGCACCCCAAAAAGGCTCAGGGACCCCAAAAGCAACCAGCGCGCGACTCCTCCAAAGAAGCATAAAACGCGTGACCAGAAGCTCGCCTCCGCATCGCAGAGTACAAGTGGCCAAGCCCTAGACACTCAGCCGCAAGACCTCGCTCAGGTAGTGAAGGGAAATGGCAACCCCCCTGACGCTTCTATCGCTCCCAAGGCTGATACATGGACGAAGGTTCAGCGTCAGACACGACAGAAGACCAGGAGACCCGATGCCATTATAGCCAAAGGCGTTGGAGAAGCCCAGTACGCTGACATTTTGAAGGCAGTGAAGTCGGCTCCGGCTCTGCAGTCACTGAAAAACGATGTACAACGTATCAGAAGAACGGGTAACGGCAGCTTGCTCTTAGAACTGAGCAGATCACCGACGCACGACATTGGTAAGCTCCACGAAGCTGTGGAGGCGGCCCTACAGGGTATGGCTGTGGTCAAGCCGCTGGTGGAAGAGGCCCAATTAGAGATCCGGGATTTGGATGAGCTAGCCACCAAGGAGGAGATACTGGAAGCGCTAAGGTCGGTCAGCGAGGACCTCAGCATCGGGCAGGACGCAGTGAAGTCAATCCGCAAGGTGAGCGGTGGTCAACAGATTGCCGTACTATCTCTGCCAGCAGAGAAAGCAAGGAGGCTCATAGAAGCAGGCAAAGTGAGAATAGGCTGGGCAATCTGCCGCATCCGAGGGGTGATTAGGCCAACTCGCTGCTACAAGTGCCTTGGCTTTGGTCATACGGCAGCAAGGTGTAGCAGCGCGGAAGATCTGAAGGACTCGTGCTACAGGTGTGGTGTAAAGGGGCACCTAGCCAGGAACTGCTCAAACAGCCCGAGATGCGCATTATGCGCAAAAGACAGCCTGCCAGCGACGGACCACGCCACAGGTAGTTTTAAATGTCCGGCGTACAAGGAGGCGGTAAGACTGCTAAGATGATAAGGTTCTTACAGCTCAATTTGAACCACTGCATCGCAGCACAAGACCTGCTACTGCAGACCATCGGCGAGCAGAATATTAGTCTGGCGCTACTCAGCGAGCCATATAGAACATACAGCAACAGCAATTGGGCAGTGGATCTTTCCGGCAAAGCTGCTCTATGGCTGTGTGAGCCTAGAGCGCCCGCTTTCTCGGAATGCAAAGCTGGTAACTTCTTCGTGAGAGCCAAAGTTTCTGACCTGTGGGTCTATAGTTGCTACCTTCCACCCAGCCTTTCCTTATCGGAGTTCGCCTCTGTCCTCGACGCTCTGGTAGACGACGCCAGGGGACGTAGCCGTGTTATTATTGGCGGAGACTTCAACGCATGGGCAGTCGAGTGGGGCAGCAACACCACTAACGCGAGAGGCCGAACTCTACTGGAAGCTTTCTCAGTATTGGATCTGACGCTGCTGAATACCGGGTCACAGCACACATTCAGCAGGGCAGGCAGCGGATCCATAATTGACCTGTCGTATGCTAGTAGCTCCCTCCACAGCCAGATCATGTGGTCCATTAGCGACGCTTATACGGCAAGCGACCATGTGGCCATCACAATCACAGTCGGAGCAACCTCCCGCAACATGCTGAATCCACCGTCCGCCAACGTGGCATACAAGCTGGATTCCTTCCGTCCAGCATCCTTCGCAAGCGCCCTCAGCGGCTTCCGACTCTCCGGTGATCCAGAAGTTATGGCTATGGACGCCGTGGCCCAAATCCGCGCGGCATGCGACGCCAGCATGGACAGACGTGGCCCCTATAGGCGCCACCACGTACCAGCTTACTGGTGGACCAACGAAATCGCGGAACTGCGAAGCTCTTGTATCAGGGCAAGAAGAATGGCGCAGAGAGCTCGCGGCACATCCTCGTCGCCCCTCAGACAGGATGCCTATCGGGAGTCTAGGCGATCTCTGAAAAGGGCGATAGCAGCAAGCAAGAGGCGATGCTTTTTCGAGATGTGCGACTCAGCCGAGCACGACCCCTGGGGGAAAGCATATAAGCTCATTGTGAAGCGAATCTACGCTGGCGGACGCAATGCTCCCATGGATGCTGAGAAACTCTCACGAATCGTTAATACCCTATTCCCCTCGAGACCCGAGTCGCCTGCGATGATCCCTACCAGAAACGAGTTATCGCCTGCCTTAGGCGACGTCACCACTGAGGAAGTGCTGCTGGCTGCTCGTAGCTTGCAGCTCAACAAAGCGCCGGGCCCGGATTCTATACCGAACCGCGCACTCAAACTGGCACTTTGTATGCACCCTGGGGCGTTCGCTACTCTGTTCGGAAGGTGTATCAGGGAAGGCATATTCCCTGCCTGCTGGAAGGTGCAGAACCTGGTTCTACTGCCGAAACCGGGAAAACCACTCGAAGACCCCTCATCCTACAGGCCGATTTGTCTCCTGGACTCGATCGGTAAGGTGCTGGAGAGACTGCTCTGCTCGAGGCTCGAAACAGCAATCGGTCTATCCCCCAATCAGTACGGGTTCCGGAAATCGAGGTCCACCATAGACGCGATCAGTAGAGTGGTGGATCTTGCGTCGAAGGCAATATCAGGTAGCAGATGGAAGGGAGGTGCCAAAGAATACTGCCTGGTGGTGACCCTCGACGTCAAAAATGCATTCAACTCGGCAGACTGGGGATGCATTCTCAACGCACTGGTGGATCAAGGCGTACCCACGTGCCTGGTGCGCTCCATTAGAAGCTACCTTAGCGATCGGATACTTAGGTTTCACACATTGTCTGGCACCAAATCCCTCAATGTTGTTGCTGGCGTCCCCCAAGGGTCGGTCCTAGGGCCGCTGCTCTGGAACGTCATGTACGACGGCATTCTCCGCCTCCAACTCCCACCCGGTACTGAGCTAGTGGGGTACGCAGATGACGTCGCAATTGTAGGCGTTGCGAAGGATATCAAAGCCGTGGAAGACGCGTGCAACCGCTGCATCCGGTCGATCATTGACTGGCTGAACACCGTGGGCCTGGAACTAGCGGCGGGCAAAACAGAGGCAGTGCTAATCAGCAGCCGCAAGGCGGTAGAGCAAGCGCACATATCAATTGACGGTACTCTCGTGCGGTCCAAACGTTCAATTAACTACCTTGGGGTTAGATTGGATACGAGATTGTGCTTTCGTGAGCATCTGGAGCAGACGAATAATAAAGCTGCAGAGGCCACACGGGCGCTAGCCCGAATTATGGCCAACACTAGGGGCCCAAAGCAAGGTCGGAGGTTATTGCTTATGAGCGTAACCAAATCAATAATGCTGTACGCGGCACCGATATGGGCTGCCGCGGTGAACAAGAGGAGCTACATCCGCGACCTCGCTGCTACATACCGTCTTGGCGCTCTCCGTGTCTGTAGTGGATTCAGGACGGTTTCTGACGATGCCGTACTGGTGATCTCGGGGATGGCACCTATCGACCTCCTCGTCCTGGAGGCGAACTACCTTCACAGTTTTGCTGCCGGGCGGCCTCGAAGGGACGCGCGGGCGGCGGCTAGACGTACGACGGTAAGCAAGTGGCAAGAGCGATGGAATGCCTCGTCAAAAGGCAGGTGGACCCACACGCTAATAACTAACGTAGCATCGTGGATCGGCAGAACACATGGCAAGGTCGACTTCCACCTGACCCAACTTCTGAGCGGCCACGGTTGCTTCAGAAGTTATCTTCATAGATTTGGGCACGACTCCAGTGCGGAATGCCCGGCCTGCAGAGGGATACCGGAAGATGCTAACCACGTAGCCTTCCATTGCCCAAGGTTTGGGGCGGACAGAAGGAGACTGGAGGCGACAACCGGATCACCCCCAACGGCGTCGAACTTTGTGGCCAACATGCTCGCTAACGAAGAGTCGTGGGCTGCGAGCGCAAACTTTGCGGCCTCCGTTATGGGCAAGCTCAGGAAACAGGAGCGGGACAGGAGCGCGATATAAGCGGGTTGATCGGCCGGGCGAAGCAATGCCTAACGGCCGTACCGCCTGGACTTTGACCTGCGTATATCATTATTATTATTACTTTTACTTTTATTATTATTATTATTACTCCTATTGTTATTTCTATCCATTCTATATTGTTATTTTTCCACTCTAAAAATAAAGAATACAAAAAAAAAAAAAAAAACACTACGTACATGTATAATCGTATTCTTACATACATACGTACTCGCAGTCATTGTGGCGGCAGCGCCAAAAGTCAATTTTGGAAACAACTCAATTTCTACTCAAAAGGCACAAAACGCTAACAGAAACAGAAGCTGGCGCTCTCTTTTTGTTTCGGTGTCTGTTTTTGTTTTTGTTTATGTTTTTGTTTTCGTTGTAATGCAAATAAAAAGCGCCAACCCAAAAATATGTCACGATGGCAATGGGAACAATGACATGCTTTAAGATAATTTGCTTGAATTTTAAAAGACTGCTCAACTTTTGCTGCCAGCAAACAGGGAACACGCATCAAAATGAAAGTAGCGCCAACTTTGATAAGATAACATAATTTCTGTCGTTTGTCACTTGCTGGAACTGACAATTAGAAAAGTTTATCATCCAACGTTGCGGGCCTCAGGGCTTGGGGCAGCTTTCCGGCTGCTAGTGCCATTATGTCTGTGCAAACCAACATACACACTTAGTATGTCCCCTCGACTATGTGTGTGTATTGAACAGTCTTTCGTATGACAAGCTTCAGTCAAACTTTATTTGTACAACTCTATGTGGTTCCCTTTTCCCGACAACTGCAACAACAACCACAACAATAACAGTGCTGGAAAAATAACTCTTGATTATAGGGCTGAGCGTTAGAGCTTTGATGCTTTAAGTGGCCTTATAATTATTTAGCAATTCGAGCGTAAAGCTTTAATTAACACTCTTTTGGCCTGAAGCCTTAACGTTATTCTGGGATTATAACAAATGAACAACATGAATTTAATAATTTAAAAAAGTATTTGTAAAAACAAATTTCTATTACACATATAATTAAAAAGTACCTCATTTTTTTCAATTAACAATACATATATAATACTCTTAATTCTTAATGACCATGGAGGCGAGGTTAAATAAGCGTCTACGTATCAGTTATCCATATACATATATGTATATTTCAAAATTTGTGGGGGAATAACACTCTAACAAAGACCTTTTTTAGATAAATATATACAATAAAATTACAAAAAGAAAGAGAATCTGTACATATTTATGGTTAAATTAGCTATCAATTAATTTAAGATTCGTTTCTCTGATAAGTTTTTTTTATTATTATTTTGTTTATTTATTTGTTTTGTTTGCTATTAACGCTTTAGACAACATTGCGAATCGGGGCATAGAAGGACGAATGGCAAATAAAATTCCCCCAGGATGCGTTTATTATATATTATTGTAAATTAATAACATTTAATATATTTATATATATATTTTTATTGATTAACCTTAGTCTGCAGCTTATGTTTGTCAACAAATAAAATAAAAAAGGTGGTGTTTATGTATATATCTATTCATTAATCTTGTATTATTAAATTTTAGATTCCTTAACTAAATAGAACGGTAATCTAAATTAATGCTTTACTTAATTCAGTTTTATTTTTAATGAATATATACTTCTAATTGATGAAATTTGAGGCAATAAAGTGAACAAATAAGTTATTTAGAAGTGATGTGGATGCGAATGAAATTTTAATGAATCAATGCCCTTTATGTGGCCGAAATTTGTTTTCGTAGCTGTGTACTTTTTCAAAGTTGTTCAACTTTTGCTTTGATTTTGGTAATTAGAAGAGCAGAGTTACAATTGATATCATCTATTTGGCGCGGGGCAGCGAAAAGTAACAACAACAAATACCACTAGATTAATATTGCTGTCAACGGCTATGCCCAAAAAGCGAAAAGGGTTTAATTGAATGTTTTTTGTTTTTCATTTCGCATGTCTCGCGTGATGCCTTCCTTGTCGCTCTGCTTGTAACTCAGCATTAAGTGCTTATCCCACTGGAATATAAATGACGTCATTTAAATATACAGGCAGCGAGCAGAGAGGTCTGTGAGGAGGGCGAGTGTGAAAAAACACAACAAACTGTTAAATTGGGTGAAATAATTGCGCACAATTATTTAAAAACTACAACAACAAGTGAGGCAGCAGCGACAGCAAATAAAATTAAATTAAGTAACAAGCAAAAGGATTGCATTACATTAATGAAACAATTAAGTTTATGCGGCCACCCTTTTCGTATGGGAGAGGCTGGAGCATTGTTGCTGCTTGTGTTGGTCCTTAATGTGGAAATTTTGGCAGGGAGGCTCCGAGCTCTTATCTGTGTAAGAATTATGTACAATAAAGGCGACTAAATCGTAAACTGAAATCCCTTTTACTGATGGAAAAATTATTAAAAAATGTATAATTTTATGAATATTTTTTAATGTTTATTTGTTTTCCAAAAGTTACAAAATATGTTAACATGAAAATAAATATTTTTTATTGGTTAATTTTTATTTTAGATTAAACCGTTTCCATTCTATTTAAGTTCATTTGCATTTAGAAATTAAATTATTAATTATCAGTCCTTACTTCTCTTATATAAAAATAGTACTCTGATATGACTGCTATTGCTTAAAGGGCTTTAACCTATCGACCATTTAATTAAGATCCAAATCATACTGCTCAGTTCATTGACAGCTCTGACACACATATGTTAGTCATAATTCCAATATGAAGCAAGCCTTGTTTTTTTTATCCTTAAAAAAAACAAAGGTCAATAGTAATTTAAAAAAAGATACTTTTACCTTAAAAAATCAAAATCCAATGTAAGTAAATATAGAACCCGTTTGAGAATGCGTAGAACCAAATTTGCAGTAATTATTTGTATCAGTTGTCTCTTTAACGTAAGTCCAGAGGCCGGCGACAGAGTCGCTCAGATTCTGTCACTAATTCAGTCAAATTTCAGCTTATACCCGTGCGAAACGTTTATGGCAGACCAATGCCGGAGCCGCAGGAAGGCCCGCCACAAGAGATACCAACCCAGCTGCCGCCCCTGCCAGAAGAGCCAACTGCGGCGGCTGTGCCTACAAATCTGCCACTTGAGACGGATTTTGTAGAGATCGAGCCAGCCGTCGATTCATTACAGGTGCAAAACAATGGCCTGCGGCTCTTTCCTGGAAACTTTCAGCCTGTAATGAATATACTGACCAACCCAGCCACGGATATTCTCACAACCATTGAAGATGAGAGAGATGAGACAACTTTAACCACGGAGTCTGAGGAAGAGCAAGCGCTTGGGACTGATTTGCAACTGCTCAGAAGAAGTCCAAAGCCCAAAACCAAGAAACCAAGAACAACAACTCTAGAGCCAATTCGGGGCACAGAAAAATCAACCACTACATCAACGTCTTTGTTTACAGAGTTCACCATAACCATACCGAAACAAGCAACTGACTCGCAAGGCAACTGGATAAGGAACGCATGGGGCATTACCTTTGGCAAGGTGTACAAGGATACGCGTTTCAATCTTGGTGGACGATTCACAGTGCCGCGAATGCATTTGGAGTCAAAGCCAGTTCGGGACTATTACCCTGGGGGTCCAAAAGCGACTGTGTGTATTGGCGCATCTACTATTTACAATATACCTAGGGTATATACTTGGCTAAAGCGCAACATCTATAATCTAACTCATGAACATAGGCCAATCTTTTGGGATCTGAGGCGCGAACTCTTCACAAAAGCTGACTCGGAGGAGTGTCATGTCCCGTCACACGATGAGTGGCGGCGCTATTGGGAGTGCGCCATTAGAAGAGATATGCGTGTAGAGTATGCTATCCCCAAGTATCCGCTCCATCAAGTCGGTTACGTGGGTCATTATTGGGGTCCTTGATTTGGTTTATGCTAAGTCGAACAACAGCAAAGTATTACTTTGTTATATACACAGTAGTCTATGGCTCGACTCTGTATTGGTTTTAGAGTTTAAAATTGTTTGTTATACGTTTTGTGTGAGTCAATGAATGGTTGTGGTATTAAATTATGGCATCTAACAAATATAACAAGGGGGCTTTGCCTCTGCTCACTTGGTTCGGAAATGGCGCTATCAAGATTACAACAACAATTGTACACAATTGTACAATTGTATTGTTTCATGATAGATACTTATAAAGTCCATGACATATTAGTGCATTCATTTACCATGGTTAAAGGGGTTCACATTGGTATTTATTTGCGTTATTGGAAAAAAAAGTGTCGAGTGCTGTTCACCAATTTATAGGATATACGAATGGTGACGAACATGTCGGTCCTTTTCTTTATATTTTTAAATCAGTGAAATACCCTGTATCCAGACAAACTTCCCAAACTGAGTTATTTGCGCCTCTAACAGAAGCAACAAGAGAGAACGCTACAGTCGAGCAAGCCCGACAGTGTAATACCCTGTACCCAGGTAAACTTCCGTCACTGAATTGTAAGCGCCCATAGCAGCAGCAAAAAGAGGAAGAAGAAGAGCAGTTTGGGGTTGTATTGTACTGGCGAGAATTTGTTTTGCTAATAACTTTTCTGAGAATTGACCGAATTGAAATAAATTTAAAGTAAATAACTCTATATAGATTGTGTGTGCAAAGTTTGGTTTAGGTAGCATTTGAAATGTGGGAGAAAATTCCAAAAAATTAAAATAAACTCGTCCTTTACCTAGCAGAATCTGCATACCAACTTTGGTTATTCGAGCTTTTATAGTTTCTGAGATCCTTGCGTTTATCCAGACAGACGGGTAGATGCACGGACATGTCTAGATCGATTTCTCTCCTTCATTCTGCATGTTATATACTTTGCACAAACCTAATATACCCTTTTCACCCTCCGGGTATAATTAATTCGGTTTAAATAAAGTACAAAATGTCTTCTTATATTTGAAACTATTGATTACAAAATATCATCAGTTCAATCCTAAACGAAATTGTATTTTCCACATCAATATATCAAGAGTGTCGATAATGTTTTAAGCAGTAATTCAAAATCCGAAGCCGAAGAAACATATACATAAGTGCTACCGGGCATTGCCACTTGACAAATAGCCTTCCATTAAAGAGTATATCAAAGCCTTTACTCTCAGACATACACAAGGCATAGCCCATCCAAGCATGTGTGTCTAGAAATGTTATCTATTCCCGCTTTCTACCCAAGTTCAAATAACTGCTATCAACAAAACTTTGATTTATGAGAATCTGCTTCATTTGATTATTGCTGCCAACTTGAATAGAAGCTGGACAGAGTCCAGTGTCCATATCAAAATCCTATACGCCAAAGATTTTTTCATGTGTCTGTGTGGAAAACATTTTCATTTTCATTTTCCATTCAAATTCAATGTTAATCTACTTGCAAAACAAGCAACAATTCAGCCTACGTGGGTCCTCATGGGCGCTAGCTCAAACATCATTTATCATGGAGATGGGCAACGAGAACGCAAACCGAAAAGCGGACATCCTTGGCAGAGTCCTCGAAATGGGATCCAGCCGGTCGGTAGAATGCTTCGTGGTAAGGTTTGGTTTTGTTATTGTGTTGGGTATGTTTGTATTAGGCCAAGCGTATAATCAGCACATATCAAGAGTGCCCACGGTTCGGCTACTCATGCTCATCATTTTTATTTGATAAATTTGGCTCCGGCGCACGTGCTGCACATTAGGATGGCGTTTCTATTTAAGCCATTTTGACTCTTGGTCAGCATACGAAATCAGCAAAGTTATTAGCTTATTTTTAGTCTATAATTTCATGCAAAAAGTTGAGTTTAGTGACCAGTCGTGCGTATACGTAACATGCGATACACATACATATGCCCATGTTGAGCGGCAAACTTGTGCCAGCAGCCTCAGTCGTAAACCCATCTAAATATATGTATCTATATACTCGTATATTGTGGCTGCAGCTGGCGAGTACACTTAATGGTCGCCCCAAATGAGCTGCTTGGCTGAAATTTTATAGTGCGCTGCGGCTTAATGAGCAAAGCAAATCGGACTTATTAGCGCTACTTAAAGGTCATTATAAAAAAAGAAAATTGTGAAAGGAGAGTAGCCAGCATTTAACATGTTTAATGCTTCTGATTATGAGGATTAAACTGAAGTAGTTGAAAAAAAAGAGATTCTGCTACATTTTATAAAAAACGAACAATAGAAAGTAATTCAAATTTTGCGTGGGTATCCACTAAATACTTTATACAAAAGCAAGGATTTGGAGACAGCTACACTCAGTGAGTCACTAGACAAGGATTAGGTTTGAGCTTTCAGAAATAACTATACAGGCAACCTGCTCTCTGAATTGCTTTTGCTTTCTCTCGTTATTAAATTGATTAGCCAACGATGACCCCGAACTAATACCACCAGCTAAAACTTCATTATACGTTTTACAGGTTAATTATACTTGTAAATTATAGTTATCGTTTCTTGCAGTGTTATTTATAGGTAAAATATAAGCAGCTAAAGCTATATTTTCAATTTAAATATACCCTTAAAGTCCTTTACTTGGATGTTATAGATAAACGACTAGACTTCGGAAATGGCCAAACCCACATCGACGCTGCTATTATATCCGCCCATACTCTGCCAGAACCTGACATTGTAGTCATATTTCAACCTCATACACAAACGCGCTTTCAAATGAAATGTATGTAAATAAACATATGCATGTAAAGCTATTTAATCAATGTTAATTGAAAACGAAAAAAATGTCATGAAAATATTTCAGAAATAAATTGTGTAGGAATTCAATTAATTATTATTCATTATTAATATTAACTGAAGGGGGAGAAGGGCTGCCACGACTTTATCATTCTAATTGTTTAGTTTTATTCATTTTTAAATTAAAATTAATTACAAATAATAAAACACAGCATTCACGTAAATATAGTACAGCATTGGCAGATATACATACTTAAAACATTTTTGTCATTAAAGGGAAAGTGCTGCATTAAACTTATTATAATTATTCCTTTTTTGTTATTAAATAAACTAATTTGTGTTGAAAATCTATATACATATGGACAGACGAGCGGACAGACGGATGTGGGGTGTATACCATGCTTTTATATACTACTTATTTGCGTTTTTGTTTACGAGTGTTTACGATGGTTGCCATCACTTGCTTATGTGTTATTTTTGTCTGCGCTTTGAATTTATTTTTGCTTCATTGCGGCAATCATTTTGCTCCTCTGTTTCGTATACTATTGCTCTCTTCCTCTCTTAGAGCTGTCGCCGGCGGCTGCGGGTTAAGCATTCACTTGAACTTTTAAGTGTTGATGTGTCAGTTAGGCGTAGGTGTTGCTTGGCCACTGCTTCTGACGCACGCTCACACAGACATATAAGTGTCGGTTTGTGTGTGTGTGTCTGTGTGTGTGTGTCTGTGTGTGTGTGTCTGTGTGTGTGTCATTCTGTAGTGCACTTGAATCTTCCCCCACAGCCTATGGGCCTTGGCTATGCCAGTTACAAGTCTGTGCATGGTGTGTTGCGCAGGCCAAGTTCTTGTAGCCGCCTTCTATCATTTTATTCACAGTTGCAACTTTTTAAACTGTTGCAAGTTGATGTAAAAGGCAACAGAACTGAAGAAAATGTTGCCTTTAAAGGATCAATTTCAAGAGCAGGTGTGAGGTAAGCATTTATTTTAAAGCAAGCTACTATAGTAGATATGTTTGTAATAAAAGCAGATAGTTATAATGTAGTTGAAATGAATTGGTTTTTGAAAACAATTGGATGTAAAGTTTGAAATATCATACAGCGTTATATCAAATATATTTCACACATATATGAAAACGTTTTCGAATTGGAGGGACTACCTCTAAGTTGTATGTTAGGAATTTCTCCACATTTAGTTATCAAATAGGTGCTGAATTGAAAAAATATATCCTGAAAATGTTATCACAATAATGATGAATGGGAAAACTTTTATGAACAAGAGACCGTTACACAACTTGTATATCCTGCAGTCTATATATTATTTTAAGAAATGGTAACGAATACTTTTATTTTGACCACTTTATTCTTACTATTTAATATAAATAAAATATATCAAAGCGTAATACTATTACTATTATTTTTAAGACTTGTCTGTTGTTGAACGATTTTTCAGTTTTATGAAAACTTATGACTTCGATATCATGCTTCTACGCGATGATTGTGGTGTAGTTTGGCCCCAGAGAACCTACTCTGGAACAAACTCACATTGTGCAATTCCCCTTAGCTTGTATTCCTTTCCGTTTATTACTATTTATCTTACATGTTTTCCTATTTAGTTAAAGTCCGAAAAAATTTCTGCAACACCTAATTATGTTCTTGAGGGAATGGATGCATCAATGATCGTAAGGGCGGAATTCAAAACGCTTGATTTTCAAAAGCTTCCTTTCTATGCCTTTCGGTCAGATTTATAGTAGTCTCTCAAATAGTTTAGTTTAGTCAAGCTGTCACTGCAGGTGAACACTACATCGGATTGATCAGAATCAGCCCTTAGTTAAAGAATTTGCTTGCTCTTGCTAGTTTGGCAGTAACTTGAAGCTCTTCATTAACAAGTGCCCGTCAGCCAAATTAAATAACACAAGATAATTCGCATAAAGTTTTTAATTGAACAAAGCTGATGGCAAAAAAGAAACAGCAACAGCAGCGGCAACAGCATGAGCAACTTGTGCCACAAGTCAATGACTCGCATACCTTTTATGTGCCGCTGGCTATTCATAATTACCGACATTACACGGCGCAGAAGAAAGAAGTCCGCGTTGTTGTTGCTGGTGCATAAAATGAAAAAGTGCCGCTGGCAGCCGCTGCCCGAAATAAAAATATGTTGTATGTACATATATAACAAAGAGAAGTTCGCGCGTATGCGGCTAGGTCCTTTTCAATGCATTGCCTTGTCTGTCTGTGTGCTTGTGGGCCTGACTGCAGATGTGGGTGTGAGGGGGGGCGTGGGCGTGGTTGCGTCTCTGTATGTATTTCTGTCTGCGTGTGGGGTGCACTGAACTTGTATAGAATATAAAGTTGAGTAAAAATAAAACACAAAAATGCGAACGAGGTAGAAA